GAGAGAGAGAGGGAGAGAGGGAGGGAGGGAGAGAGGGAGGGAGAGAGGGAGACAGACAGACAGACAGACAGACACACACACAGAGGCAGAGAGAGACAAAGAGACAGAGAGAGGGAGGGACGGACGAACGGATGGAGGGAGACAGACAGACAGACAGAGACAGAGAGAAAAAAATTTAGAGACAGAGAGAGACAGAGAATTTACTAGTGAATTTAATATTTTCACAAAATCATTAAAATCATTTGTACCCATACGGTAATTAAGCTACATTGCACTTTATGGTAAAGATTCAAACTAGCAACAAAACATCAAATTTGTAATAATATGTGTGGCCAATGTATTGTAATGTAATGTACCGTATACGTCCAAATTTTCGAGGGTTCAAAATTTCGTGTTTCAATGAAATTTGCTCAAAAGTTAATATTCGTGTGAGCTAATTTTCGTGTTCTGGCCATAGTCTACATACAATAGAATGGCATTAGAGGTGGTTTAAATTTCGTGGATTTAAGGTGAGCACGAAAATAACGAAATTTAATACACCTCGAAAATTAAGACGCGTACGGTATTGTTCACATGTATTGTTGAATTTCTACATTAATAAAATAAATAAAACACACTCTAAACTAAAAGTAATTATACACAAATATCAAAAGATCATACTACTTGTACATGTATTATGTACATGTTTAAACATAATTCAAATACATGTACTATACATGTAATTCATGATGGCACAGTATACTCCTCACAAAAATGTGTACAACAAAATTTTATCACATTAAAAATTACAACGTGCAAGGAAAATTAATACCAGGGCTGGGTCGAAGGGCAAAAAACAACCTCCAAAGCTTCTATACAAAAACCTTTGGTTTTTGCGAATCTTCTTAAATTTTTGTTGCATTATTAATTTTTGCTATTTGTTATTTACAACATACATAGAAAAAAGGTCAACAGTATAAATGTAACAGTAACAAATGTAACAGTAACAAATGTAACAAATGTAACAGTATAATTCTCAAAGTAACTCATAGTTCTTATTCAAAAATATTAAGGCATCAACATTGCTGGGTTTTAAAGCACTTCGTAGTTTTGTAACTGTTAACCCTGCAATAGAAAAAATTCTCTCTGAGGTAGCTGATGTACTCGGGATGCCTAGTAATCCTCTGGCAATGATAGCAAGTAGTGGATAAGTAGGTGAGTTAATCTTCCACCAATTTAATATGCAGTCACTTCTGGGAATGGGTTTTTCTTCTAAATATTTTGTCACTTCGCCTAATATTGTGTCATTCTCTAATCCAGTACTTGAATCCTCTTCATCTCCTAGTAAGATATCAAAAGCAGACTTGCATCTCTTCTCAGGAGGACACTGCTCTATGCCACTGACACTCTCAATGAGGGACTCAGGAATGTTCTCCATTCTGTTGCACAGTTCAGTCTTTACAGCTTCTAATAATCCATTGGTCAAAAACTTCAAAGGTTTGAAGCGTAGATCGAGTATGGAAGACAAAAGTAAACAGCTTGAAGCATCTAGATTATTTAGGCCCCACCTTTCTTCTATTTCTTTTTTTACTGTAGTCTTGAATGCAGCAATGGTAGCATTATCTTCTTGAGCTGGTGTTAGATGCTGCAGAAGTCCATACAATATAGGTAATGTGTAAGAAATTGTGGCAGTTTTCTCTGCACAAAGAAGAGTTGTAGCAACATCAAAAGGTTGTAGAATTTTGATTAACTCCTCTGCAAGTGTCCACTGTTCTGTAGTTAAGTCTAGATACCTATCTGACCTTTTAGAAACTGAATCATCAGACAGAACAGCTGTCACTGGCCACCGCATTTCTAACAGTCGTTCGAGCATGTAGTACGTTGAATTCCAACGAGTAACACAGTGCTGTATAAGCTTCCTCTCCTTGATGCCCATTAGCTGCTGTCGCTTCTTTAATTCATGACAGGCCAGTGCACTATGC